TAAATTACAATAGCACAAAAATATGTAGATAAATTTTTTATAATAATGTTGGAAATAAAAAGTATTTAGAAAACAAACCTCTTTTTAACTCTATTGAATTGAATTGAACTGAATTGAATTGAATTGAATTGAACCGAATTGAATTAAATGAATTGAATTAATTGAATTTTGTACAGATTGAAGCTGGCACAATCAAACATAAAGACAAACAATAAACCGTAGCCGTTTACATGCATTTGATAAAAAAATCTAATTACAGTTTTATAAAATTTACAGGATTTTCCTTCTTTTTGCATTGTGATGCAGAAACAGTTTTCCAAATGTGTTATTTCACAGCTGCTCTGATTAAATGAAGGAAGGAAACAAAACACAAGGCTGCAGTACTAAAATACTGATAAATTACAGGTCGGCGACCTTTCGGTGCGTGTGGACGGACGCTGTGCGTGACGGGAGAACGGGTGGCTGTAATCTGTGCTTACCGGTGCAGCTCTCTGTGGCGGGGGAGCAAATGGATCTGCCAAGCTGAAGTAGATTCAGAAAATCCCTCAGGTGGCTTTTTGTTCATTTATCTACATTTTCCAGGGCTTCCAGCTGCCAGATGCAGGTGGCACGCGCTTCGCCTGGGACTGTTTTTAAGATGCAGAGCAGAGGCGGAATGGACGGAGGAGTGTTAGCGGGGATGTGGAGGGAGAGATCGAGAGGGCAGAAAGAGATCCACCTTGCAGCCTCGTAAGGCCCCACATCAAAAGTGTCTCGGCAGAGTGATAAATTAAAATGAAAATGCCCTCATTTCTAATTTCCCCCTCCTCTTCAAATTCAATTTCCAGATTGGCGGTGCACCCAGGGAGTCGCGGCCGAGGACTGCAGGGGCGGCAGAGTTGAAGGAACGCACTCCAGCTGATAAGAAATTATAGATGGAAATAATCTGGGGATCTATTTCCTCTGCCCCCCCCCCCCTCTCTGGCCTGCTGTAAATATAATGTGGTGTAGAGGGAAATTAAATGTGTCTGTGATCTGCCTCATTATGGGCAGCTCTTGTTGGGGACTGAGGTGCCGCGTCTTCGGGCTTCAGACAGCTGTTAGCCAGCAAACAGAGTGATTCACACGGATGCTCTGCTAAACTAAAACAGCATCTAATCCCAGTTCAAACCCCCAGAAGTGTGGTTTATCACTGTCTGTTGTGTACCAGATCATCTTGTGATATAGGTGAGGACGTGCAGCTATCAGGCCTTGGTTTAAACACACAGGTGGAGCCTCGATCAGAATAATAACTCACCAAGTTAATGCAGCACGCTCGCTCAGTGGTTAGCACGACGCCTCACAGCAAGAAGGTCCTGGGTTCGATGCCCGGTTCAGATCTGGGGACTTTCTGTGCAGAATTTGCATGTTCTCCTCGTGCTTGCGTGGGTTTTCTCCGAGTGCTCCGGTTTCCCCCACCCCTAAAAACATGTACATGTAGCATACGGAGCACAAGTTTGCTGAACGTAGCAGAAATAAGTTGTAATAGCTACAAAAAGTATGTATTTAACTTTAAAAAACTAGCTAATAACAGCTGAACATTAGCTAAAATTACAGCTCATTATAGCAGAAAGCATCTGTAAGAAGCATAAATAGCACAAAGTAGAAGAAAAAATTACAAAAAAGTAGAAAATAGCTGAGGAATAGCAGAAATAAGTAAAAATTTAGCTGAAATAGCAGAAAAAAGCTAAAATTAGCTAAAAAATTGCTAAAATTAGCACAAGGAAGTTCAAAAGAGCAGAACAAAATGTGTAAGGTGCTGTAAAGATTTAGAAACATGTTGAAGGATTTCAAGGATGTTGAAAAC